CTCCTTCCGCATCTCCACCGCCACCACCACCATATGTAAATTCACCACCACCACCACCTTCACCTTCATCATCTCCTCCTCCACCACACCCACACTCTCCACCACCACCACCGTCACCTTCCCCTCCACCACCATGTGTGTATATATCACCTCCATCTCCACCACCCCCATCTCCCTCTCCGCCACCCCCATCTCCCTCTCCGCCACCACCTCCATCAACATTTATGCCGCCGCCGCCGCCGCCATATATACCTCTGCCACCTGTAGTCGGAGTTACCTATGCATCCCCACCACCCCCATCAATCCCATACTACTGATCTCAATCAATCTTCTAAAGGGACTCAGAGCAAACAGACACAAACATACAGAGCAATAATTCTTCAACTGCACTGCTGTTGATGTTTCATCTCTCATCATTTCTTGGAGGAGCTGCTCATGCTGCTCTGCTGCTGCAACATTTAGTATAGTCTCAAATTTCCATTCATTTTCTTGCTTCCTTTTTGGTTTTAAATTATTGGTGGTTTCTATAATTACAGTGTGTTGAAGACCAGGTGGGATAACAGAGGGCTGGATTCTTTCTTTAGCACAAACTATTTTATTTCTATCTTTCTTATTTCTTCTTTTGTGAATGGATTTGTGTATCATATGCTTGGATTTCTTGTTCAACATAGTCTTGTGTCATTTCTTCACTACTAGCAGCTATATTATCCATAAATCTTTTGCTGTTACTGTTTCTGACATCCCAATCACAAATCAATTATCATCTTTTCTTGTCACTGTTTTTCTGATCCAATCCCAAACACAACACATTTAGACAGTTGGCCACAAAATTTCTTGATTCCTGATTTGGGGTCCCAGCTTGTAAGGTCATCTGTTGTCCAATAATTGGGCAGTTGCTGATCTTTCTATTTCCTAGTGTTTATTTAGCATTTTAATTACATGATAATAATGCTATGCAATTCATGGTGAGATTAATATAACACATTTACATACCCATAGTCTGTTCAAGTTGTTTTTTGGTTCAATTTCAGATCATTTGATGGTATGTTGGGAAATCATTCCTATGTTTCTCAAACTAAACTTGGAAATTTTGAGATCCATCCTGTAAAATCTATTATCCCCAGTTTATATGGGGTGTATGCCTCCCAAAAGGTAATTGAGGCGTGCAAAGGTTTCCTTAGGCAGGATGGAGATGACCTCTAGTGCTTAGGCCGAAGTGAGTCATGGAGGATTATGGGCTTTTTCATCCAAACACAACTTAAATGTTGCTAAGCATGTGGCATGACCAAATAGTATAGTAGGAAGTAGTGGGTTCTTAGACCTTACTCAGAATGTCCCAATGTGCAGAGCAATATCATGGATTACTGTTGTTAAGCTTCTTTTTTTTAGTATTATTATTTTTTAGTTGAGCGGGCTGACGTGACGTATCGCTTTTGGTCTCCCCACTCTGGTCGAGTTAGAATAATTCGATCTAAGAATAAATCCGATTGTCTTTGGTCCTGCTTAATGAGTTCATGCCCCGCATAATTGACCACGTCACTCACGCTTCCTTTTTAAGTTTGGGATATGCTCTTCGACCTCTGGTTGAGGTCCCAGTTTCAAAATTTGAATTTCGAACCTCTGCCACCAGTCCAAACATCCAAACGTCCTGTCCAACCGCCTCACAGTCCTTATTGTCCTCGTGTAGTGCACCCATTAAATATCGCATTAATTTCGTTCGTCTGATTTCTTTTTTAATCAAATGGTCACCAGTGCGCTGTCTTTTCGGCTTCCTTTCTTTCCATCTTGCCCCTTCATTACGACTTGATCCAACGACCCAACTAGACATGTCCTTTCCACTCCCCAATCTTTGTCGTTTAATTAGGCCACGATCCAAAGGTCAAGCACGATCGACCTCCAGATATTTCATGTTCCTTTACCTATAAAAGGACTCTTAGCCAATTTCATTAAGTTTTCCACCGTCGCAAAAAAAAATTGTTTGCAATATACTTTTCCCGTGTTCTGCAAAATTTGAAGTCTTCATTGTCGTTGTTCCACCGTCAACCACCGCGACATCTCCTTCCAGCACCAAGCGACTATGTCGACGTCGATGAGTACGTATTTATAATTATTTATTTTTAGTAATTTGTTTGCCTAACTCCTTTCAGTTTTCTTCCTTCCTTCTCCATCAGTTCTTGTATTCTCTTGTTTCTGTCAATTGTTCGATGAGTACATCATGAAGCATTATAGTAGTAGATATTCTAACAGAATCTCGACGTGTGACCTCAAATGAAGTGCCATTCGCAAATGCACATGTATGGCAGGTAAAAAAGGCGTAAGATCATGAATGAGAGTTGAGTCAATGCACATATGCTTACTTTCAAGATCTACTACCTACACCTTCAATTGGTATGAGGGAAGGGGATGTGAATGGATTGATCATTCCCTTACTCATTCATTTTCCCATGATTGGTATATGTTTTTTTGAAAGGAATGACCACAGGGGGAATTGCAAAACCCATCTCCATGGGATTAACCATTCCATAGCTAATGCAAGGTTTTCTCATTCCCGTATTTGTAGAAATCAATTTTTTAAATAATAAAATTAACAAATACTAATAAAAAATAAATATATAATATATAATATAAATCATAATTAAATTGTATTAAATAAAATTATTTTAAAAAATAAATTTCAAACAAAAAGTTTAAAAACTTATTTTTATTTATCGTTCATATTTTAATAAGATTTATTAAATAATTATATACAAAATAAAATTAAAAAATGCATTTATAAATAATTTAAAAGATATTATTTTATTGTATACATCGTATATATTATATATTTATTCATAAATTAAATTATAATATAAAAATTATATTCGACCAAATATTCTTATAAGGGTTTATGTAATGATATATTTGTATTAGCTAATATGTATATGAATACAGAATTCATTAATTTATTATATAATATACATGAGTGTAACAATACAAAGATATATTTATTAAAATATAGTATTTTTTTTAACAAATAAAATAATTTTATTATTACCATAAATGAAAAAAATAACATTAATATTGATATTATTTTATTTTCTATAAAATAGTGATAAATGATAATATAAAATGATAATGTCATTCCATTCAGGTCTTATTTCTTCTGTATACCAATTACACTTTAATATATAAATTTTTATTATTTTATTTTTGGATCAGTTACTAAATTAATTCTAAATTTGGTAGCAAAATATTCAAATATGTAACGGTTAATGTTGGAACTTAAAGTTGATTGACACATTCAGAGCTGTAACCGCTATATTTGGTGGCATTGTTGGAAGAAAAATATAATTGGCACATATTTGTTTTTTTTTAAAATCAGAAACACCAATAATTTTTTTTTTTTTATTTATGTTAATTTTCTTAATATATGCCACAAATATATAAATTATTTTATTCATGTTACTAATGCAAACGTTACATGGTTAAAATAGAATTTTAATCTCAATTAATTTTGAATGATAAAAATAACTTATGAAAAAGTAATAATTTTTATATGATAGAAGTACATGTCTAATTAATAAATACAGACAAAAACGTGTTTTATATCTGTGCAAATGCACAAAATCAAATACTAGTTAGTGATAAATGATAATATAAAATGATAATGTCATTCCATTCAGGTCTTATTTCTTCTGTATACCAAACATATCAATGGATAAACTTGTTTCATTCCTTTCCCATTTTCATTCCATTCTTCAACTCATTTCATTCCTATCAAATTCCGTTCCAGTATACCGATCATGCCATTAATGTATAATGAGTGGAATCAATACCTGCTGAGTTGATAAGATGAACACAATTCGACTCATTCATCACATTTGATCCCTTTAAGCCAAAANAACAACTCTTACTGTATGAGTGAAGATAAATCAGTTGGAGCTCCTGAATTGTGTGAAAGGTGGATGGCTGAGCTTCAACCTTTTCAACAGTTGCATTAGCGTATCCCTTTGGCCTTTGTTGCTCTTTGAGTTTATGATCCCAAAGGTGTTTGATCCGTGAAAAATACTCAACAACACCATCATAGCCTCGAGTAATGTTAATGATTATAAAGCAACTGTCCATTACTTTGACCATAACTTCTAGCTATGCTTTTCCAAAGTTCTTTAGCATTATGCACATATACAAAGCTCTCCACTATGTCCTTCGATAACTTTTTTCAGAATTCATGAAAATGATCATAATCTGTTTTCTTCCAAATCTCATTAACATATGAAAATTGTCATTACAGAACATGAAAGAGATGAGCTAAAAATATTTGGTAACCAGCTAGACCGTTGGAAATTAATCTAAGTCGTACACGTGGCCAAGATCAGAAAAAACTAGAAGACAATAAAAAGAAATGCGCCTTTACATGTGAACACGAGTACTGTAACGCCCCACTTTATTTTAAAGGATTTATCGAATTTATTTAATAAAAATCACAATAAATTTTTCGCAAACTTAATTTAATTAAAAACTCAGTGTGCGCTACTCAAATTTACCAAAAGCCTTTAACCAAAAATGCAAACGTATCAAATAAAGACAGCATGCACGAATAATAAATCATAAACCAAACTGGCATTCCTTAAGTTCCAAATCATAAAGATAATTCACAATTCCAAGTTCAAAACGACACAGTCATAATATCTCAACATAAATGAGCGGAAGCAAATAAATAAGCGATAAATAAAAGCATGACCAGCACCCGTCTTGTCTCGTCACCCGCCGACTGCTTAACCTGCATCAGTTACGAGCAGGTGGGAGTGAGTACAGTTAACTATCGTACTCACACTATGCATATGAATAACATAATAATGGTATGGTCGCAGCATGAACATAAACAATAAAATCATGTCACATCTCTAGCCACATCAATGACTATAGTCTCATCAAAGACTCACTCATGTACATCTATGCTCATCAAAGCTAAGCCATGCCATATCAGTGAAACATGGGAGTGCGTGCCACATCAATGACACGGCCTTCTCATAGGTCTTAATGAGATTTACCTCACTGGGTAACCGTATCTTATCATACGGGGACAACCGTATAGACGGCCATCAAGCTCACATCGATAGGCTACATGTTCATTTTTATACATAGATCACACCAAACTTTTATTAGAAATAAATCACACATACGTATAGATAAATTTTGAATAACCTACCTGGATTCCAGATTGATAATAACCCAAAGCAATGGGAGTAGGTCGAGGCTGGACTCCTCAATTACCTACATTGAGTCAAGATGCTACAATCAACATCTATCTTGACTTTAAACGGAAAACACAAAACAGACCTAGTCGAACTTGTTTCGACTAAGTAGTTCGTGAAGTTCTGTGAATGTTGGAACATTAAGACTCGGCACTAAACCCGACCAAACCACATAAGGGAGTTCACACAAATCCATCTAAGGATTGACCAAGTCAAACTCACATCAAAACGAAAAGCAAGTCGATTCCCAACTTTTCATTTCAAAATCATGTTTTGAAAATAGTAATCATTAATCACATGAAAATAGATGATCAGGCTACCCTACGACTTAAGCTCTGAAAGTTTGCCCAAAATTACATCTCCCAGAAATTAGTAAAACCACAAAATTTCAGCTTCAAACTCAAAGCACATAAATTTATAAAATTCCGACAAGAATTCAGTAAAAACGCACATGAATTTATATCTGAATCTAATGAATAAATCAGGACTTGAAAATTTAAACTCACAAGCTACAGCAAGATATAGACAACATGTAAAAATCTCAGCCCTGGAAATTATCTGTGCTAATTTTAAAAATTCCGACAAGATTCAGCAGTTATCGAATTTAAATCAAAACTGAATTAAATTGGACTCCAAAAATTCTCATCTTTTAAAAGCTTGAATATACAAATAAAATAAGCATCTCAGTCAAGTTTCAGAATTTTTCAATGAAGAACCGATTTTTAATAATTGATACAACTTTCAGCAAAAACAGAAAACAAATCATTAACCATATCAAATTCAACCCAAAAATTCTAAAAACTTAACACAGCACACAAACACACCAGTAGCACAACATACTAAAATTTCAGCTCATTTGAATTACAAAACAATTTATTAAGCATTAAACAATATTCTGATCAGAATTCACTTTAATTATTAAAAATAGCTACAGACCTCTAAAAATTACGAAATTTTTACACAAGGCTAGAAATGAACAGATAACATATTCCTCAAAATTTTAAGTCATTCCAAGCAGTGTGAGATTTTTAAAAATTCAAAGACCAAAACAGCGACATATATGCTCGGCAACTTAGCAATTAATTCATAACATGAAATTTCTCGTCCGAGGCCTTCTCGTAAGACCAAGGACTCGACTTTGTTCCAATATCCACTGACTTACACGACTTTCGAGGTCTCGTTCAATTTCTCATAATTGAAGAGATCCCGAACAACATAAACGACACATAAAATCATATCTTTCATATAAATTCACGATTTTCACATATTCTCTAATCGAACACATATATCGAACATATAATCACATAACTTATATGAATTCACATATCATCATATAACACAACGATAATTACGTAAAATAAACGGGAAGACGGGTCTCGATACCATTCTCAAGAATCGGGCGAGAAGGGTTCGAACGGGCTCGACGGAAAACTCGTCTCGCGAAAGAGGAGAGCTCGTCGCACGGGAAGAGAAAGTGCGTCGCTGCTGCTGGGTCACGAGCTCGTCGGGGCCCTCGGTGTTCAATAAAGGCCTCGAACGGCTGCCGTTATTCTCGCACGAGCTAGAAAGGGTTGTTGCTACTGTCCGGCTTTTCTTCTCGGCAGGTGAATCGGTCTTGGACATGGTTCCTCTCAGGCTGGTCGGGAGTCGTCTGTGCAAATGACGCCACTACTGATCGGGAAAAGAGGTGCTCGAGCCTTCCCTGCGACACGCGAACGGAGTGCTGCTCGCTGGAAGAATCCTTGCCCGGACAGAGGAATCCCGCACAGATGGTCCCGGCGATGAACTGAGGGGACGACGGGCGATCGAAGGGCTGGAGTTAATCGCACGATAGGGATGGTGGTGCGCACAAACAGGAAGAAGACGTCACTGCTGGACTCGGGGAATCTCAGGCGCGCTGCTGCTGGGTGTATCGCCGGAGGAGGAGGGCTCGCGGAGGAGTGCAGCGGCGACGGCGGCTCACGGAGGTGCAGTTGCAGGCGGCGGTGAGGGAGGATGATGGCGCGACGGAGCTTTCTTGTGAGAGAAGATGAGAGATTTATGGCGACGGGCGATTCTCGCTGTGAACAGACACGACGGGAGGAGAAGCGAGGGAGATGGAAACGATGAACGAGGGTCGTGAGATTTTTATTTCCTCTGATTCTGCTGATATGAGGAGGATGACGAGAGAACAAAAAGCTGCGCGTGAATGAGGTTGAGGGGAGAGGATTAAAGGCACGGTTTTTATTATGCAATTAGGGTTAATCCTTTCCTAATCTTCAAGACACGCACACACACTCATGGGCGGACCGGGTCGGGGCTGGAGCGTGGTTCGGGCTCGCGGGTTTCTTAATTTATCGGGCCGGTTCATGTGCGTGAGTTTCGAAGACTCGGGTTCTCGGGCTCGATTTCGCAATTAAAAATAAACCGGACAAAATCTATTTTATTACACACATTATTTAATAATAATAATAGTAATAATAATACAAGTACACATTTAGGAAAATAATTACAATTAGACATTAAATAAATATTCATAATACTATTACTAATAATGACAATAAATAATAATAATAAAAATAAATAATCATTATAATAATCCCAATAAATCTATAATTAAACGGGGCGCTACAGTCTACCCACCTTACAATGGGCCTTGAGGTTCTCATACAAGCTCGTGCATAGATAAATTCGTTTTGAATTTGATGACCCGTGGGTCGCGACCTGCGGGTCGGCGCGGCCAGTTTTCGAAGTTTTATTTTTTGGGTCATTTTTAAGGGCTATGTTAAAATATCAACACCTTCTTTTGGGAAGGACCCGGAAGCATCTAGAACAATCCGGAAAAATGTGGAACGTTGTGGAACATTATGGAAGGTTCCGGAAGCATCTAGAACGACCCAGAAAATGTGGAAGGTTCCGGAATATTGTAGAAGGATCTAGAAGCTTGAGGAAGCTAGTTGAAGGATGTAGAAGATTCTAGAAGGTAATAGAGATTACTAGAATGTTGTAGAATATTGTAGGAACTAGACTTATATAGATAAGTCTAGAACAATGTACATAATATTAGTAAGTTTTAGAATAGCCTAGAAGAGGCAAGAGTGTTAGGGAAACCTCATGAGTGTAGCTAGTTCTAGATAGCTCATTAGAGGGAGAGTTGTCTATAAATAGGCAAGACCACCTCATTTGCAATGAATCCCAATAATCCAAACATCCAAGAGTCTAACTAAGTAAAAGTGTGTGTGTATGTCATAGTTAGTGTGTCTTGGTCTTGATAAGTGAAGTATTGTATCTTGGTCTATATTGTGTTCTGTAATTACTTTGTTAATCTAATAAAGTAATTACATTAGTGTCCATGTGTTGCGAGTGTACCCAACTTAACAAGTGGTATCAGAGCCAGGCGAGCGGAGTCTGGCGTTGGTTGAGGTACGAGTTGTTGTGTCAAGCTTCTCGTAGTTTGGCAGTTTCGTACTGCGAAGTTTGTGCATTTATTACTGCAGAGTGTGGCAAGTTGATCGGGTGGAGCCACGATGGGAGACCTTCAAGTGGTTGGAGGTATCAAGAAGCTTAACAATCAAAATTACAGCACGTGGTCGACGTACATGGAGTCATATTTGCAAGGCCAAGATTTGTGGGAAACTGTGAGCGGTAGTGAGGTTACACCACCGGAGGACTCTGCAGCTTTGAAGAAATGGAAGGTTAAAGCTGGCAAGGCCATGTTCGCTATCAAGACCACCATCGAGGAAGAGATGCTAGAGCACATTAGAGATGCGAAGACACCGAAAGACGCATGGGACACATTCGCGGGGTTGTTCTCGAAGAGGAACGATGTGAGGTTGCAACTTTTAGAGAACGAGCTCCTCTCTATCTCGCAACGAGACATGACGATAAACCAATATTTTGCTAAGGTAAAGTCTCTTTGTCGTGAAATTTCTAATTTAGATTCGTCTGCTGGTATGTCGGATTCTCGGATTAGGAGAATAATCATTCATGGATTGAGGCAAGAATATAGAAGTTTTATTGCTGCTGTGCAAGGTTGGCCCACCCAACCTTCTCTCGTAGAGTTGGAAAATTTGCTAGCTGACCAAGAAGCGTTAGCTAAGAAAATGTTCCAAGCCTCATCCAAGAATGATGAAGAATTACTTTTCGTAAAGAATATCGAAGGTCGATACAATACAAATTGTCATTGGAGGAAAAGAAACGACAACGACAAAAATGAAGACGAGAGGAGTGCTCATTTAGGGGGAGCACAAAGGAAAGAAAATTTGAGCGGTCAACCTCAAGAAAGTAAAAGATTTGAAGGGAAATGTTATAACTGTGGAAAGAAAGGCCACATAGCGAGGAATTGTTGGTCGAAGAAGAAGCCAGCGGAAGGAAATGCAGTCATGTCGGATGAGGCACACAAAAGTGAAGATGAATGGGATCTTGAAGCACTGTCAGCCATAATTGAAGAAGAAGAAGTTGGTGAAGAAGTCGAGATGGCTTTAACGGCAACGGTCGCTGAGCTTGACTCAGATGATGAGTGGATAGATAACCTTGGAAGCTCAAGTGACGAAACAGGAGACATGAAAGAGTTACCAGATTCGACAGAATATAGTGAAGAGCGTACGGTGACAGTTGACAACTTAATGCTGCCAATCTCCGACACTGGTGAAAAAGAATCGGCTAAGGAAGATAGAGTTGAAGACGAGCTAATAAGTCACGGGAAAGTCAATAAGCATTGGATAAGAGTAGAAGATCAGTCAAGTGTCAAGAACCCACAAGCCCATAGATCAGTGAGAGTACGAGTACCAAGCCCAAAGTACACGAGGAAAATATTTACAAGCTCAAACTTATGTGAAGATGCGTTTCTCGACGTAAGGTGGCCGATAAAAACGAACGAGCAAAAGTCGGTGTTGAGAGGGAGTGTTAAAATATCAACACCTTCTTTTGGGAAGGACCCGGAAGCATCTAGAACAATCCGGAAAAATGTGGAACGTCGTGGAACATTGTGGCAGGTTCCGGAAGCATCTAGAACGACCCGGAAAATGTGGAAGGTTCCGGAATATTGTAGAAGGATCTAGAAGCTTGAGGAAGCTAGTTGAAGGATGTAGAAGATTCTAGAAGGTAATAGAGATTACTAGAATGTTGTAGAATATTGTAGGAACTAGACTTATATAGATAAGTCTAGAACAATGTACATAATATTAGTAAGTTTTAGAATAGCCTAGAAGAGGCAAGAGTGTTAGGGAAACCTCATGAGTGTAGCTAGTTCTAGATAGCTCATTAGAGGGAGAGTTGTCTATAAATAGGCAAGACCACCTCATTTGCAATGAATCCCAATAATCCAAGCATCCAAGAGTCTAACTAAGTAAAAGTGTGTGTTTATGTCATAGTTAGTGTGTTTTGGTCTTGATAAGTGAAGTATTGTATCTTGGTCTATATTGTGTTCTGTAATTACTTTGTTAATCTAATAAAGTAATTACATTAGTGTCCATGTGTTGCGAGTGTACCCAACTTAACAGGCTATTTATTGGGAATCGTGCCTAGGGAAGCATCATTCATTCTAGAATTTTTTTTTTCACCCTTTCTCTCTAGAAAACATTGAGGGCATGTTTATTTTTTGGCGTTTTTGGCCAAACCGCTATTTTAGCGGATTTGACCAAGTTAAAAATACCAAAATAGTGTTAAATGGATGTTTGGTGGCATAGCTTTTTTCATTCAGCCTTTTCCATTAAACAACCAAAATTGAAATGCTAATGAAGGGAGCGTTTTCCAACAGCGTTTGTATTAATAAAATATTTATGGGCTCTAATTAATTAGAACAAGTGAGTGTTTTCTATTTCTTGATTTATTTTACTTCAAATAAAAAACTAATCTCAAGAGTCCTGACGCATGATTCTCTCCATGGTTGATTTGTTTTTAGATTAAGCTTGTAATTCGAATTCGTCACTTTATTTCATATTAGTCGTAAGTACGTATTTTCATTTAATTGATGAATTTGATGATTTGGGTTAATTTGATTATGTGTGTTGAATTCGATATGCATAGATAAATCCGTTTGCAAGGGATAGGGGCTAATTGTTCTTGTTCGTTCATAATTATCGGGCTTTGAATTAGTCTTTCTCGTGCGAGTTGTTTTGAAAAGAATTTATAATTTCATGCTTGATTATTAAATATATATGAAGAGTGACACTTCAATCTTGCAATTGGAAACAATTGGATATTGCTCTTTTAAGTTCAAAAGTATTGATTCTAACGTTTAGTCGATTAATTATCTTCTACTTTAATTAAGCAACTTTTGGAACTGAAAGAGGAGAAGTTGTAGACCTAGGCTCACATGAGATAGACGATTTTGTAAAAGAATAGTCTATAGGTTTTTGGATTGAAATACATGCTCGTCTACGTCTGTTCCATTGTTACTTAAGTTATTGAGATCGGACCTTAGGCCTGTGTGTATGCTTGAACTTATGAATCTATATTCAATCTCTTGTTACAAAAAGTTATTGGGAGCGAACCTCTAGGTGATTAAGCGAGAGTTTCAATCTTGAACAGAGCTATTATTTTCCTGATTTTGCGTTTAGTACTAGAATAAATTATCACTGACTCTCTAGTTTCTTTATCATTGTTTGATTCATGTTTTTATTTAATTTCTGATTTTGCATTTTCAGATATTTCTTAGCTGATATTCAAACCTCCTTCTAGAATTAGAGTGTTTGGGTCTTATTTTTCTTTTGTTTGTGAACAACATTGATTCTAAATTTTGAACCGCCTTCCTCGAGAGATCGACACGAGGTCGGGAATCATCCCGTACTCTGTAAAAACACAATTTGCTACAACAAATGTCATTGCCCCATGGATAAAGAAAACATATTTAAATAGAAAAATATGAGGAAGTTAAAATTCCCACGTTTCAAATAGCTCACAGATTGCTACTAACAAATCACACATTCATCATCCCAAGTGGAGCATTTCATCAAACATGTAATGTGCTTGTTAAACATATACCAAAAACAACAATCAATGATCAGTTAACCAATCCACCTCCTAACAACAAATCAATATTTGTAACCATCCCTTACAATACAAGGATGCACAGGAAAAATCCTTTATCATAACACGAAAATCACCAATAATCGGGAATCGCATCACAAAACCACCAAAAAGGTTCCAAATCACAAAAACACCTAGATGAATCGTGTGTAAGATGGAAAAGCACAAAACATAGTCCAAATAATATATTTGGATGAATCGTGCATGTGAAGGAAACCTCAACATATGCATCGTGAATTGTTCGAATATATGTTGGGGTAATAAGATTATTTTGAGATTATCATGCTGAGAGGAGTAGGTTTGTCAAACCCTAAATCATACTTAGGGTTGGGTAAATCCGACACGAGTATATAAAATTGATTAGAATCTTGGGGGATTATTTTCGGGCAGGTTACCAGAATCAAGATCCCCATTTGATCCGGCGAAGGTTACTTGAATTGAATCTCCCTAAGGGTCGCTGATCTAAACGCTTGGGGACAATAAGATTTCCGACAAGCAAAAGATGGTGATGAACAAGAACAACAAGGACGAGAACAATCTAAAGTACGATAAAATTTTCAATTCGTAAATAAAATGATATGTAATAATACAAATCCTAAGGTTGTGATGATACATTATTGTATTCGTAAGATTGATATACAAATAAGATAAATATATGAGATTTGAAATTAAATACTATTATCATATTTTAATTAGTTAATTTAATTTTTAATGTTAAATTAAATTAAAGGTATAATAAGTTTTTAGCAGTACGAGACACCAATTTTCTTTTTGTTTCCCACATTAAATCTATTATTAGTATTTGATTCTGTGCACATGCACAGAAATTTAAATTATTATAACTTATAAGTTACTTGTATGTGTATAATTGTAAAATTATAAGTTAAATAATAGTATCACATTTTAAAAATTTTATCGTTAGTAAAAATGAACATCATAAAAGTATCCTAATTTATCACTATATTTATTATATAAAATAAAATGGATAATTATTTTTTCATTGAATTCAACTAATATAGTGTACAATTTTGCATGAAAATTTTGAATTTGAATGAGGTGATGTGAAAATCACTAATACAAAAGATGACTTTTCTTATATATTTTTTGGTTGTATTTATAGCATATCAATACTTAATATTTCTTTTGATAGTCAATATACAAATTAAAAAAATATTTTTGACCATTAAAATTTAACGGTTTAAACATTATCTTGTAACCATGCAACAATTACATTCTCCATATATAGAGAAATAAAAAATGGTAATCGCATGCAACCGTTACAAATTCAAAATATAGCTAAAAATAGGTGGATGATTGTATGGAAAAAATTAAAAGAAAAAAATATGTTGCAACAGTTTTTGGATGGAGGTTATAAAATTTTTTATTAAATGCAACCTATTTTTATTAAATGAACCCATATTATTATTAATTGAAGTTGAATAAAATTAAATGAAACTTGTCAACAATTATATATATACTAGTACAGAGCCCGTGCGATGCACGGGGTGCACAATTTTAAGGCTATTTATCCAGACTTATAATTATATACATGAATATAGAAAAATGTACGAGATATATATAGTACGTGACCAGTGCGAGGTACGGGATATATTTATTTGAGGAATACTATATTATAAGATGCAATATTCAATAAAAGTTTTATAATACGCAGGAAAATTATACAATAAGATAGTATTCGACAAACAAACAATCATATATTATTAAAGACCACCTTGTACACAACATTATGAGTTTGATTTTCCATACAATAATAATAAGATTTTTTGTAAAAAGATAAGAAGGAATTTTCAATCTACACAAAGTTTAAACATTAGATGTATTTACGTAAATCAATGACTATATAGACAACTAAACCCTTCAGTTTAGGTTTGACATCTACTTTATTTATGGGTGACGTAAAATAAGGATTTAATTTTGACCGATTAAATCTTTATTCATAGGCTTGACATATAAAACTGATTTGATGGGATTTTCTTAACTAAACCGATGCTATGGGATAAAACAAATCTATACTTACCTTTGACTTTTCCAGCAAAGGTAAAAAAATCGGTTCTGATTTTTATCCCATAACAGATCTTTAATGTCAAGCCTATAAATACCAAAACAAATTTGTAATTAATATCATTCTATTTCCACCAAGCATTAATTACCTTTGACTTTTCTGCCTACTATTTCTAGAATAGGATGACTTTTTATATAAGTACAGATTTCATATAATGCAAAGACTGAGATCATAAAAAAGAATCCTAAAAACTGAAACAATATATTTGCATAATTTAAGGCCATTAAGAAATCGAACTCTAAACCAGATTTGATTTTCAGAATATGTTTTTTCATTTCGAATTCCATACAAAATGGAATTCTTTCCAACCAATAGATGTCATATCAAATATTAACTCTTAACTATTAGACTATTAGTACATACCGAGCAAATTGTGTACTGATTTTAGAAAGTTAAAATGATTCATGTTAGGTAATTTTACATTTTATGCATGTTGAACGGTGGGTTTTAAATATTGTTTCATAGAATGTAAGAGTGTATTATATTATTTTTGAGATGTTGAATTTGAAAATTAATAGAATTCTTCTTCATAGGAATTTTAGATGTAACAATATTCTTTGGTATACACTACTAATAAAATCTATATTTAAAGTTTATATTTTTTTTTACCGGAAAAAATTCCTTAATTTAAGAAATCATATATCTTCAATCAGTCCACATCTATATACATTCTTCACAATTTTAAATCTTGAATTTGATGAGGATTCGTATCTATGAGTGCAAAATATAGTTTAACAAATTAATTTTTTATTACTATTCCAGCCATACTTCTTTATACGATTTTTTGTGAAAATACAAAAATAAATTCTTAATTTTAAATCAGCCGTACATTAAAAAGTACAAATTTATTGAAATTACAAAAATAGTTTTTTACTTTTAAACAGACGTAAATTTAAATTAGTTATAAAAAAGTAATATTTATTTACTATTTAAATATTAAATCAGCCGTAATTAATGTTGTTTGTTTTAGTTGCCACGATTTTCTCCAAATTAAATTAACAACTGCCATGATTTAAGGGCAACATTTAATGCTGCTCTATTTTTAGGAGACATTAAATGTATTTGGCAGAAAAAACTTGCTAAAAGTGTTAAATGGTTAATCTTTTAATATAATAATAGATAGATTGATATTTATTTTTAAGTCAATCTAATGATGAAACCAAGTAAGTAACATTAATTAATCCGCTCAAACAAAAACTCTATGAAGCCATTTGGAAAAGCTGTGTTATTTTACACCCGTTAGTATTTCTCCTCAGCGGGGCGTCAAATAATTGGGCAAAGATCGCTTCAGACCAGAACAGAAATCCGAAGTCCCAGTGAGGAAGCGAAATAGCTGTAAAGTGGTGAAAATGGCGACGATCGAAACCCCGTCCTTTCAGGAAGCGTTGCGCTGCGATGTCTGCAAATGCAGCTTCTCCACCTTTCGCCGCCGGGTGATTCTTGGAATTCTAACGTCAAAATTTACTTCGAGTTAACCTTTTTTTTTTTTTTTTGGCTTGTCATTTTATTCGTTGATTGAATTGTGTGTTCTGTCTTTAAATCTAGAGAACGAGTGAGATGGAGAGAAAGAATTTAAACTAAAAACCTAGATGATCTGGACTGATCTGCCTTATATGTCCAATTTATTTCTGTTTACTTGCTAAAACCAAAGTTGCTAAAATCAGATGTACGAGTCGATTAGCTGCACTGTTCTTGTACCTACCAACAGTAGTGTATGATAGTAGGCACAATATGCAGTTAATCAATTAGCACTCATAAACAAGCATGGCAAGACTTTAGTTATCACTAGTATTTGCACCCATGATATTGGAGTGGTTTTGCGATGTTCATACCTTTTTATCTCTATTCGGTTTTTTCACCCCTTGTCGTCAATGGGTAGGACAATTTGATTCCCTAGTTTTCTTTTATGAACTTTCCTAGATTAGAAAACCTTCTTTGTATTATTTTCCTATGGCTGAACTGAATTCTGGTGGAAAACTGTGATTCAAGTGTCAACTTAAATTATTATATGGCAATGATTAGAACAAATTGCTGGTTAGGATATGAGGAAGAATATGTACATAATTAAAATTACGAAGGTTTATTCATTAGAGACCAACCAAACATAAGAAATTTTGGAAATTGAAGATCTAAGTATGCTTAAAAGTCCTGTAGGATTTAGTAAATTGAAACAAATATAGAAGCATACAAAAATTGAAATGAGGCCCTAATTATTCTCAATATCAGCATAACATAATTTGATTTGTTTAAGGGATAAAGATTCTCCGTAGTAATAATTAGAGAAATGGACCAAGTTTTTGTCTATGGTGATTTGTGCTGAAACTTTTATCTGCATGTAAATGCTGTGAGTATTGAGTTTAGAGTCTCATATTATGATGTCTGATTCTGGTCCAGGTAAAGTATTATTGTTCTTCGTAACTCTGGCAGAGCTGTCAGATGCAAAACTTAATTATCTTTTATATGCTTTAAAATGGTTTCCCTGCGAATGTGTCCTTAACATTTATCTTCTTAAGGAATATACTCAATTGCAATTTGACTTTGCATATGTGGAATGATTTTGTGGTCTTTATACTGCCTTATCATACATTCTATGTTTGCAGCATCATTGTCGATGCTGTGGTCGGACGTTATGTGCTGAGCATTCATCGGATCAAATGGTATGCATTCTACACTACACACACATCTGGGTATGCCTAAACCTACTTGAAGTCTTAAGCTTCTCTACCTTTTTTCCAGGCCTTGCCACAGTTTGGTATTCACACAAACGTTCGTGTTTGTGCTGATTGTTATAATGATGGCTCTAGGTAATATTTATTGTATGTGGCTATGGGCCGTTATGTTCAATGTACTGACTATGTTATATTGTAAAGTGTAATTTTTTTCGTTTTTCATTTTCTTTGTCGTTTCATTTATTTTTCTGCATTCTTTGCTGGCTGTGTGTCTTGTTTCTTCACTCTGGCAGCTTCTTCTTTTAAGAGAGACGGACTTTTTATTCTTCATGGCATCATTATAAAGGATGGCTATTTGGATGCCTTGTATTTTGGTTTAGAATTTAGATAATTCTGTTTGGTCTTATCTTCATTGACCATTTGTTCAATCTTTTTCTCTGAAAATGGTACATTATTTCTTATCACTCGTTTAATAGTCGATGTGATGAACATTAAGGCTACTGCTGCATGAATAAAGGGGTGAATTTTAGTATCCCAAGTTATAATTCAATATTCACTCATCTTCTTCTTCAATACTTTATGCTTGATATCCTATCCCATGCCATGGATTTGTGAGCTTCAATGTTTTTGTTCTTGATCTTTTAAAGCAGTTCCAATGTTTGGGTCGAATGGAGGAAAAGTCTAGTGTCACATAGGATTTTGGACCTTTTGTATAAAAAGCGGTCTCCTGTGCAAACAAAAAAACACAAGGTCTGGATGATGTGGCATGTGAAAAAATAGATTAGGTCTCCACTTGGATCTATTTTGAGACATGAGTGTAGACCCAAAGTTTTTTCATAAAAAATATTATTTTAATACAGTCCACGATTATTTGTTTCTACATCATTTTAAACTCAACTTAAATTATTATTTTAATAAATCACTCATAATTATTTTGTTCCACATCACTTTAGACCCAAGTTAAAAAAAATTGCANAAAAAAAAAAGGAATTGGAATAGATATGGTCTATTTTTTTCTATTATTTCTCCACATCATTCAAGACCCAAGTCTATTATATTGACAACTAGGCAAAATTAGACCCGAAGCATTGTGGATGCTCTCATAAAGCTCATTTGTTTCTTCAAATTTTCAATATTGATTCTGGCAAATATTGAATCAGATTAAGGAAGGATAGCGTGCCACCTGCTCCAAATGAAATTAATGCTGTAGGAGATTCAATTTCCAGATTAGATATCAGTACAATTTCAGATGCCAAATCTGAAGTTGGTGCTGCAAAAGCTTCTTTTCCAGGCATTTCTGAGTGTAAATGTGGGATGCCTTTGTGCATTTGTGAAGCACCTGCTCAACCAAAAGTTACTGCACAACCGCAGGCGAGGATAGTTTTGTGTGTATCAGTTTGTCCTCAGTGAACTTCGCTAGTCCTTACATGTTAAGTTTTCTTGCAGCCATCAATCACTACTGCAAATCCTCCACTTTACTCAATCCAAAAGCAAAAAAAGACGGAACCAGCTTCTAGGAGTAGAGGTTCAACATCAAACAGTTCAGAAAGGTATTCGGGAAGTAACTAATCAACAAACGGTTCGAGTCTTTTTGTGTTTCTCTTGGGTTTCATCTCTAGCCTATCCCGACTTGCTTGGGACTAAAGGCTATGTTGTTGTTGTTGTTGTATGTATTATGTATGTAAAGCATTATGATGTGGTGTTTATAAAGTGTGAAAAGATTCAGTACACTTGCATTGCTCCATTATAAATGCATAATCATATAATTCCTTACCTGGGGCTTATTGCTTCCTTTTTGGATACTTGGACTGAGCAATTATTAGTATCTCCTTTATGTATATTTTAAACATTTTGTGTGTTACTGCAATGGTAAAGAAAGAATGTGAAATCCTGCAGCACTTTTTTCTATCCTGGTCAAGTTGCTAACAGTTCTGTGGATAGAGCATCCATCAATTATGAGGTCACTGGAGAGGTAAACTTGGAATGTTCGCCTCTACTGATTAAGTGAACCTTGATCTATTTTCTGCGTATGTATTCATAGTTTTTGTCTTCAATTTTTAGGGTTTGAGAGAAGCAATAAAAAATGGCGATATTGCTGCTGCTAAGAAGCTTTTGGGTCAGGTACTTTTTTATTCTTTCCTCTCTAAATGTGGAATTTTAAATATCTTATCTTTTCTAATTTGTACTTTGTAGGGAGTTGATGCAAATTATAGTGACAAGCAAGGCTCGTCTCTATTGCATTTGGTACTATTGCAGCTCTTATGTTTTATATTAAACAGAACTGCTTGTGCACTTAATATGGCTCTTACTAGACTTGTATAATAATTGCAGGCAGCGGTTTTCAATCACACGGAGATAGCATTTGCCCTCATAGACCATGGAGCACGTCTTGACTGCAAGAATTCACAAAGTAAATGTTTTCTACGCATGCTGTTTCCAAATTCGATTTTTGGGGCAAGTATTGAAAACACAGAATACATATTGATCAAGATGAAAAGAAAAGGCAATGGTGTAGTGCTTACTTTCCAGTCACTTCTATTGCACAGACATGACTTATATGGACAGAGTACATATTGAGTTTGTAAGACTGTTTTATTAGGTTGCGTTAGAAATACCGCTATTGGACTTTCCCGATAGTGTTACTCTAAAAAAATGAACGTTTTGTTTTAACAAGTGACGGAAAGCAGGATTAAGTGACAATACTAATTTTGTTTGCCTTTTGTTTGGTCTTTATTCAGGCGAAACACCTCTGGACTGTGCTCCGGTGACGTTGCAGTACAGGATTAAACAGAAGATGGAAGATGTGCAATCAGTTGCTCATGCATAACAGAATGTTGTACATTGAACTGTTAAAAAGCTGGTAACCTTGTGTTAGCAACTGGTTGACGTTGTTCCAACTTTTGTTGAGGTTCGCATGTGTTGTCAGGAGTAAAGGGCAAACACCACCAAAAATTCAATTTTCTTCGTATTGTTGTTATAACCTCGTTTGTGGGCAAGGTTTCTGTAAATTACTATGCCGTTGTGAGCATTTCCAGATGAAATGATATTCCTTATATTACCATAGTTCATTGTACGTTTTCTAGTTATTTGGCAGATTTCTATGAATATGAATTGAGGTTGTGGCATACTATGATCAAGTTTCTATCTATATTTAAATGTCCTTATGTTTATTAAGTGCGTGACTAGTAAAGTGTACGTGCGAAGTGCGATGCGCGTAATACATAGTTTATAATTTTTTATGATTTAAAATTAGGTTTTTTACCTTTTAATTGTTTTATTTTTTTTTTGCATTATTATGTTAAATTAATGNTTAACTAGCGTATAATCTGTGCGATGCACAGGAAGCAATTTTAAGTGGTGATTGTATGTACATGTGTTTGGAAATAAATGACAAACAAAATATTTTATAGATAAATATTTTTCGGATGATTTGAGAATTGCATGGTTGACCGTATGTTTGAGGTATTTATAGTTGAATTATGAGAAATTTACCCGCCTTAATGTTCAAGGGATGTCTCGGTTTTTCTGTGGTTATACACTTTATCAGGTTTTATCCATTCACATATGTATGTGACTTAGGTTTATATCTCAAATATGTAAATTTAATTTAATATTATTTAAATGTCATATTTTTTTAGAATCTCAATTTTTGAATGTCAAGGTGTATTATGTTTACTAGTACGTAACCCGTGCGATGCACGGACTGTATACATTTTGGGAAATATAGTGTAGTATCGGTGCGCAGTACGATGGGGTTATTTCCTCAAACCTTTTTTTCTGAATTTTATTTAATATTTTTGTTTAAAAATTAATAATTTGATTGTAATAGAAAAAAAAAGAGAGAGAAATACAAAGTACAAAAAAAATAAAGAAATACAAAGAACAAAAAAAAATCATATATTATTAAACACTTCTCTATACACAACATTATTGGTTTGATTTGCTTTCAAACCTTCTTCTTCACAAATTAAAATTTTCAGACCCTTTCTATTAGTAACACGGAAGACAACGACGTATAATTGGCCATGATTAAAAAATGATTTTTTCAAGAATAAGCCAACATGAGATAAGGATTGACCTTGACTCTTGTTTATAGTCATTGCATACGAAACCATAATGGGGAACTGCCTTCTTTGGAATTTGAATGGTACTCTAACATCCGAAGGAGTTATGGTCATTCGAGGTATCAAAACTTTATCACATGCATGATCGCCAGTAAGAATTTTACACTCGAGAACATGATTGGAGAGTTTGGTCACAACCAATCGTGTACCATTGCAGAGTCCCATTGAGTGATCCAGGTTCTGCAACAACATAACTGGAGTTCCGACCTTTAAATTCAACTCATGATTCGGTGTTCCAGAACACTTGATAGTATTCAAGAACTCAGGAATATGGAGTTGTGCCAGAAAGTCGGTATTGGAGTCAGATTTACATGTATTGTCTGAGCTTAAATACGTGCGTCCTTCAGTCAAATTCAATGACGACATGTATGCATTTATAGATTCTACTATCTCGATTGTTGGTGGGAGTATAGCCCTATCTTTCAAGTAACTTGGATCATCGGTTGCATTCTTGAACATCGGATACGTGCTTTCAACAATTTTTGCAATTGGATCACCGGATGGCTCTAGTAATAGATCATTTGGTATGTAGCACATCCATCATTTGTACCCCCAATGTGCCATCTCCAATGCTCGCTATCCAATCAGCAAAAGCAGCTAGCTCGTCACATTCATTCGAATCACCAATGCTCTGAAGACGCATGTTCTTTGTAAGTCTAAGCACAGTACAGTCTCCCCAAATGGTAGAAGAATTAATAGCAGCATTAACAATCTCCTGACGATTCCCCTTTGGAACTACCGGAAGGATTTGTAACTTAGAACATTTTTTCAAAATTTTATCTCAATGTTTGAATGTACATATCAACTGTCAATTTTTCAAAGAATTTAAAAAAAATTACCAATTATAATAAAATCTAAACTTTTAGGTGGGATTTTACTGTCTACTTAAATTAAGTCTACTAAAATTAAATCTCTATTGCTATTTTATAGTAATAGGTGACATAATTAATGAACAAATATTTAATATCAAGTCAAATGAAAAAAAAAATGCAAATTCATTTAATTAGTAAAAAAATAGTTGATGAGATAATGAGCATGAAGATTTTTTTGTATCAGTACTAACTATTCATCAGAATCCCACAATTTTAAAGTCAGATGTATCACCGATTTAGTAAAATTTGTAATTTGAAAAAATATTGATGAGATGAAAATGGCCGAATATTTGCTTAAGATTTTGATGGAATTTCCCTCACTATACAAAAAAACGCATTTAAATACGTCTGAATCATTTGAAATATTATTTGATGGGAATTATAGAAATTAAGTTATAAGTGGTATTTTTGTTT